TGGTTGGTAAGGTGTCAGGTAGTAGTTGGTAAGGTGTCAGTAATTGGTTGGTAAGGTGTCAGGTAGTAGTTGGTAAGGTGTCAGTAATTGGTTGGTAAGGTGTCAGGTAGTAGTTGGTAAGGTGTCAGTAATTGGTTGGTAAGGTGTCAGTAAGTGGTTGGTATGGTGTCAGTAAATGGTTGGTAAGGTGTCAGTAAGTGGTTTGTAAGGTGTCAGTAAGTGGTTGGTAAGGTGTCAGTAAGTGGTTGGTAAGGTGTCAGTAAGTGGTTGGTAAGGTGTCCTTGGTAAGTGGTTGTTAAGGTGTCAATAACTGCTAAGTGAGGTGTTTACAAGTACCTGTTAAGTTTGGGACACCAGGCACAAGAAAAACTTGTTTGGCTTGTTAAGTTGATACACTGACTGCAGCCCTTAGCGATCACACAATCTAAAGAACAAAGAGTGTAAAATGTGAATCAACAGAGTCAAATGCATTAGAATAGTTACACTAACTTTCTCCACTTACTCTTTAAGGGAGTTAACAACAAAGATGAGCCTGTTTTGATGTTGTCCATTTTATAATCTACAGAATGGTAAATGTAGAATATTCGCACTTTACGAACTAAAAAGAAGAAAAATTTGCATTAAGCTACATTTTCATTAATTATATAATATTTCATTAAGTATACAATATTTCGTTAATTTGTGCAAACAAATATCAATACTTTTGTCTGATCAATAATAATAACAAAAATAGTTACTCACGCATTCCTTTTATAAACCACCATTTGTACCCAATAAAAGCATCAGAAATACCAACTTTGACATGATGTTCTTTGACTTCCGGGATTTTTTTTGCTGGGACAGGAAGCTAGATGGAACAAAACTAACAATTATCCAAAATTTCAAAGAACTTACACAAAACAATTTGAATAATGTGCAGCCAGACTTTAAATTATAGTACCGTCTTGTAGGCAAAGGCAATTCTTCCATCTTTGTACAAGGTACATTGAAATGTGAACTGGCCAACTGAAAGTCAAAAAGAACTAATTGTTATAGATTTATTACATGTATTAAATGTAATATACTGTTAGTAGTTAACAGATCTTGCTATTTAACTAGGATAAATTTGGAGTCAGCTAACTTTAATAACATCTTTAATATTATTCCATTAACTCACCTTTTGGAGCATTTTGAAGTTGGACATTTGTCCACTGAGCAGTAAACTGAGAAGCTGTGTGTTATGAGAAAAATATATTAATTTTACATGGAGATAACTACACTTTGTATGTCATGAAGTCTTTGTCTTTTACYGACTCACCATTGCTAAAGTGGTAGATGGCTGAGCTGGCATTAATAGAAGTATTGAAGAAAGCCATGAGTGGTGCAACATACATAACCTTCATCTTGAGACTTGTTTCCACATAGCCAACATACAAGAAGCCTTGGCATAAAATTACAAGTATTTACACTAAATTTATACACATGTTAAAAGTATTGTTGGTCAACATTTACAGTGACTAGTACCTTCATAACATGGGATTAGGATAAGAAAGGAATATTCAATAAATTAAGTTATACTATTAAATATTGTTGATAAATTAATATAAAATAATGAAAAACAGGATTCATACCTCCAGTAGTTATTGAGAGGTTGGTAACTGGATGGCCATAATATGGAAATGTAAACTTCAATTGGAAAATCTRGAGACACAGCAAATCACATTTAAAATAAACATAATTTATATCTTTTATAAACAAAACAAATTCCTCCACAAGCAAGCATTGGGAACTATACAGTGAAGATTATAATTTCAAATTCTATTTTTTCTGAGTACAATTATATGGCAATATTATAATAGAAAATGCAAATGAAGTGACATAAAAAAGTCATTTCTAATTTAGCAGCAAAAAGGATTAATTTGACAATGTCCTCTGAAATCATTCCTTTGCCAATTTGTAAAAAAATATAATTAAGCATTCATGCAATGGTTATTTTATGATAAAGTCTAATTATTTAACAGCAGCTRCAACCAAAATAATTTATTATGTGAATTGTCCAATAATCAGCTTGGCGATACAATTGTTTAAATATACAAAATGTACCTTAGATCTCAATGATCCACCAGACAAGTAGTCATCTTTAACAGCATCAGCATTATTTGAAAGTTCTAACCAGTATTTATCTTTCCCATTACTTGAATATTGGGTGTGATAGTATTCAAACGTATCCTAGTTGAGAATATACTCACTATCAGATATAAACACGGTGGGAGGTTGAAAAACTCAAGAGAAGCCAGCTTAGAAACACGAGCGTAGCGAGTGTTTCTCTTGCTTCTTGAGTGCTTTTCAACTCCCACCATGTTTATATCAGAGGACAGAGACACAAGCGGTCGTTTTATAGTAAGTTCTTTTTATAAAATTTTTCTGTGTTTTTGGAGTGAAAAACGAATTTTGTAAGCTGTGTCTCTGTCCTCTGATATAAACACGGTAGTCAGCCAATCAGAGCATGTGTTATATATCAAAAWTTTTTATATGTTGTTATAATACAAAACAATGACGTATTTGAGTGCAAAGTTCCTTCAACTATCAATCAAATAAATCCATCAAACAAAACACTTAATGTWATTTGTGACAAACAAGGAACGAGTTTGGGATAAATTAATATTTTGCTGGCACGCGCCTTTATGCATGTGCGAGTGCAATGTGTGTCCTTAGGGAGAACAGAGTATATAAGTAGGTTATAAGTGTGAGAATGTTGCCTAAGGTCAGCCACGCAACACAAGTCAAGTTCGGTTTTCACAGTCTAGAGATATCCAATATTGACTGCACAAATTTAACAATTGTTGATAATCAAGAGACGGTGATCATGAGACTCCTCGACGTACTAGCGATTACAAAATAAACCGTTGTAAATAACACTATAGCAATAGTATATAGAATCCAGAATGTCAAACTCTAAAACCTCAAGAGTGCGCCACAGCATGGTTGGGGGTACACGTTCCCTTTTTCCACAAGGTGGTTTAGGTTTTCGTGTCTGGCTTGGCGCTATGAACAATATCTGTAGACCGACCTGACCAAGCGTTCGTGTGCCGTTGTGTTGTATATGAATAGTGAAGTCAAAATTAATTACAATGCACATACCCTGTATCAATCATACAATAATAACATACTTACATTAACACTTTTTAGACCTTTATTAGAATCTCTTCTATGTCTAAGGTTGTGATGGTACTCTTCTGAAATCTCAATAGGAACTTTGTTCTTGGGTTTTATGAAACTCTGATATCGATATAAATGATCTGATTTTGAAAAAATATGGATCAATATCAAAGAAATATTATTTCATAAATATCAAGTRGCAATTACCATAAATTAGCACAYACACTATGACAAACAAGATAGTGCTCAAGGTATTATTTTGCGTGTTGTAGACCMGAAGCTATTTTTGGGACTAAAACATTTTTAGAACGGCTTCAGTTTCAGATTATACTGAATGATGCAGTCATCAGTGAGGCCTTTATATATGTCACTAAAAGCCATTTGATGATCTGATATGATGGGCCAGCAATTGTTTAAATGTCCTCATTACAATTCCCCGAGGCCCCATCTTGAACAGCAGTCTTTGAATCAAAGTGAGATGACCATTGAGTGTGCTATAAAATTGTCTGTAAGTGTGAAAGAAGGTTTCACACTGCATGCTCAATGGTCATCTTGTCGACCTTTCAATCAAATTGATTGTCCACTCTCCATTCAACAATTATTATCACCACTCGCTCACACAAGATTTTTTAAAAGCTAAATATGTACACATAACACAAGTTTTAAATATATAGTTGAACGTCAACAAAACACTTAATATACCCTATCTGATTTTTACGGAAACACTCGTATTAGTTGATATCAATTGAATATCTTCAAAAGTCAATATTTTTACTGCTGAGCTTGGATTTAAAAATATTGCCGTCTCACTAGGAAAAGAAGGAAAAATAAAGTAATTTCCTTTTTTTGGGAAAAAAACGATACACATTGCGTTCTAGATGTGATGTCTGTATGTCTTATTATAATTAAAATGTATTCTTTTTCTTCATGTATTTCATAAACAACACTCCAAAGATATCTTTAAACGTCCTTTATCAAGCAGCTGAAGGACGTTCATATCAGTTAATTAATTCACTTCAGACATTATACCTAAAATCAATCCGGTTGCGATAAAGCTTTTTTCTTACATTTTAGCTTAAGCCAAAGTAGCAAGGATATACAAAAAATATGCCAATTTTTCTTAGTTAAATTTTCAATTCATTCAATATTAAGAATGAAAGTTAATATAATGCAACTTAACTTATATAGGCGAAATATCATCGTTAATGTTTTTTTACTTTACCAGCTTTTATGCGGTAGTTTTTGCGGAATAACTTGTCAATCGGGTCAATCAATCGACACGTTCTATCGAATTCGCAATAAAAAAACTGCGTTTGTCAAAAATATTAAAATCGAGTACAAGGCTACCGTTGTTGTTATGTAATCCGTAAATATACGTATTACCGTTATCTCGTTGAACGACGGAGTTTTTAAGTTCTTACATGTAAACCTTCTTAAAGGATTTTAACACTTACCAATACAGCTTACTGCAGGAACGGAAATCGACATCAGAATGGCGAGAACAGAAAGGCGCCAAGTTGCTTCACGAACTTTCATACTGGACTGCCCCAGGGACAAAAAGAATATAAATTCCAACAGCTGTTGTAAATGGGCCAAGTAAAGTTGTCACCGCGATTTAGCAGTCCCTTTGAGAATTAAGCTTTCCTTCAAAGAGTCAAAACATTCCCCAGAAGATGCAGAGATACGGTTAGCAACGGATGAAAAGCTAAAATATTTCTTCCGCCAACTTGACTAATGTCGTCAAATTTATGGGCTAATGACGTCGTTCTTCGATGACATGAATAGCAATACGAAAGCAGCCTATCTGAAACAAAAGAATAAACAATTCATCGCGCTGCGGCAAATCACAAGAGTTTGAGAGCTTAAGCCAGGCTTGAAAGCAGTAAAGCTGACTCTGCTCTAACCACAGGAAACCTGCTCGAAGAATCTTGGGCTCCCTGTGCTATGATTCGAAAAATGGCTGCAAAGGCTCTTAGATTCATTGGTCAGTATTTATTCTCTTTCACTATTAAAAGAAATGTTTGATGGATTTAATGCTATGTTTTTTATTACTTATAGACATTGGAGTGAATTTGACAGGTAATGATTTCTTGGAGTATGGAAAAATATTAGTTCATATAACAGTCTCACTTTTACAAGTGAAGTTACTTTAATTTATTAAGCTTAATAGCAAACTCAAGGCTCTAATAATCTATAATGAAATTTCATAGATCCAGTGTTCAGAGGTCTTTATCGTGGAAAGCAAGCACATGCAGGCGAGGAAGAAATATAGCGTTTATTCTTGTAAGTTTGGTTTTATTGATTTCCATTGATTGTTGATTAGATGATTTCAGTGATGTATTGGAAAGGGCATCCAAAATAGGAATGAAAAAGGTCAGTAGAGAACACTCATTATTTGAACATACTAGCTAGAAAATAAGKCAGTTGTTTACAATGTCATTTCTGATATGTGTTTTCATTTCAGATGATTATAACTGGAGGAAATTTAGAAGAGAGTGCAAAAGCACTAGAGTTAGCGAAAACACATGGTTTGTGCTGCAGCTGTTGTACACTATGACAAGGCTTAAAAACTAAATTGAAAATATTTATAGATTCTCTTCATTGTACTGTTGGATGTCATCCGACGCGCTGTGGAGAATTTGAAAGTGAAGGAGCAAATCCTGATGAATACCTGAATAAACTCATTTCTCTTGCACAAGAAAACAAAGGRAAAGTAGTTGCTCTTGGAGAGTGTGGACTGGGTAAGGTGAAMTAACTGTTGTAATATGACTTAATACTGGTGTTAGGCTGACTTAAATTTGCTTTTGCAGATTTTGACAGACTTCACTTCTGTTCTAAAGAACTTCAACTAAAGTATTCATGATTTCTGCTTATTTTTGACCTTTTTGATACTGAAAATCTGCTGTTTCACCATTTATGCACTGCATCAGATTTATCATTTCACAAGGATCATGTTTCTGCTTTAATTTTAGGTATTTTGAGAAGCAGTTTGAACTAACTGAAGCAGTTAAATTACCAGTCTTCTTTCATTCAAGAAGTTCACACCAAGATTTTATTGGTCTGTTGAAATGATTTTTTATGTGTGTGTATATAAATATTGATACTCCACAGATTGAATTTGAAAATGTCTGGAAATTTGTATACAATATTATTGAGGCAATATTATAGGCGAATAATTTGTTTACATTTCAGTTCATTAACATATCATTAGCATAAGGATATAAAGTTTTAACCTAACTATCGTATCAGCACTGAATATTGAAACAACATAGCACAATAACTTTTCCACGCAATTTTGAGCTTCTCATATGAAATACTTTTTGYGTAAAACAGTTTTAAAAACTCCAATTTTTAGAGAGATTATATGAGCTAATTAGCGCTTTTGCCACTCAGCATCTTTGAACGCTAATATCTTATAAACTATTCCATGTAATGACCTCAAACTTTCGTAGTTTATAGTTCTTAATAAGCCCTTTTACATTATAAACTTATTTTACAGTTTTCTTTAATTTAAACTTTATGCTAATTAGAAAAATTTTGTAAACAAAGATCCGCCTATTGAAGCTCATTATTGAGGATTAATTTATTTTCAGACATAATCAAGAGAAATAGAGATCRTTTTGTTGGTGGAGTGGTAAGAAAACAATTTTGTTCTCTGACAAAGCAAAATGCTTACCTGATTTCGAATACGTTTATTCCAGCATCCAGCAGTCCAAAAGTCCAATTCCAATTAAAGTTTTCCTCGAAACTAACCGTAAAAGTGGTACCATTTAATTTTTKTGTGTGTGTGGGTACCAATTTATATAAAAGAATCGATGAAGCATTTAAATTTTACGAATTTCGGCCGATATCGCTCTAATGGCTTTATTTGTCGAGTTGCGCATGTGCAAGAGTTACTTGTATTCTGAAATATATCGTCAAAAATAGTTCGAAAAATCATTTTTTATCGCATTATGTTAAATGTATTAAAGCTGAAGATAAGATATTTATTTTTGTTCGGTTTGATCACGATAGAAAAGTTCTTATTTTCTCCCACATGGTTAGATAGCGTGGAAATTGGAAGTATAAAAGCGGTGCACGCGTCATTGAGTCGGAAGCGCAGTGGCAGCTTAGGAGTGCTATCATTGTATCGTCTCGTATGGCTGATCTGATAGTAAGTCTAAGTAGCTTGGTTAGATTTCCACATCGGGGTCTAAAACCATTTCCACCGCTTCTCCCGATGCCTCGCGCACGGTTGAGTCGCRCTCTAAATAACAACACCCCATTGGCGTGATTGTTTCGGTATAATGTATCCTAACTTTCCTTGTATCACTGGATACTGTGTTTCGTATTTCGTATGTGCGCTTCCATAGGCACTACATGTTGTAGTATGCCATTCTTTTGATTTARTTTATTTCTGTGTGTTTGTGTTCGTATGTAAAAGAGGTTTATGATTTTCTGTCACTCATGTCAGTACAGCGATCAAAACATTGAATTAAGAAGATATCAAAAAACATCTGTTAAATTTTGTGTTTTTAAAAAGGCACACTGTTTCACTGGAACGAAAGAAGAAGCTAAAGATTATATCGACCAAGGGCTATACATCGGTATTACAGGATGGTAGGTTAACGAGAAAAAGGAAAAATATAAAATTGTCAGTTACACATGTAATATTTTTTTCCTTTAGTTCGTTGAAGACGGCGGATAATATTGAAGTTATGAGGACGATTCCTTCGGAAAGACTTCTCATTGAAACAGGTAGCTTGGTTTGTTTTCAGTTTGTTTTCAACAACGTGGATTAGTAACGCTGGCAGCGTGACAAAAGCTTATTGTTGAATATTCTAATTACGCAAACCCAATAAACCTCATGTTCTGAAAAGATTTTTTTACAAAAAGGCACAAATCGCTTTTAGMGCCTTTAAAAAGAAAACAACAGGAATTCGGAATCCCGTTCAAAATTAAGAAAAGACTAAAAAAGACAGKGAAAAGCGAGTTGTAATAGTAACGCACGAAGCGTGACAACAGCTGATTATGTAAATAGACCCAGTTTGGTAAACCACATGACAGGAATACGGTGGATAAACTGGTTATTTGTTCAGATTATTTTGATAATGGAAGGTTTCAAAAATAAGTAGAAAACTAGGATTACTTAACTATTTAGATCGCTCAAATGAATTTTACAGAAATTTATTAAAATTTGTCTTTTTTTCCATGTTTGCGTATTTTATTTTCAACTATTTTATTTTTTTATATCTCATTTTATTCTTATTTTGTTTTAGATGCTCCTTGGTGTGATATACGACCAACACATGCTGGATTTAAGCACATACAAACTACATTTGAATCGAAGAAGAAAGAGCGCTTTGAAAAGGGCCTCTGCGTCAAAGGTCGAAACGAACCAGCAAACATTATGTTAGTAACAGTACAAACGTATCGAGTGAATATGAAAATGGCTTGAAACAGTGCATGCGACATTCAACTTTCAWCATCCTGTTTGTTTTTGGTTTGTTTAACATATTTTATTATGCAACTCAACCAAAGCACMACTGTTTTTTGACTGTTTTATAAACATTTTAACTTTTGTTTCTCTTTTGTCAGACAAGTTCTGGAAGTTGTGGCGGCTAGTCGCGGTGAAGATCTATATTCCCTGGTAGAAATTATTTATGAAAACACAGAAAAACTGTTTTTTAGCTAATTCCTAGTCAATTGCAAAAATAAAGCTGTATAAACAAAAGAAAGCACAACTGTTGGGGGTACGCGCGGTGAGGTTAATATTGAAGGTAACGTGATACCCAGGCACAAAAACAAAGTCCCCGCGTGCGATAAGTTTTTTGACAGTAAGGCTAAAATCACCAGCGCAAGCTCTACTCACCAAAACAAGTTGGAGTAAAACCAAAAAAGCCACTCCCCGCTCAATTTGTTTTCGTCATAAACAGAAATAAAATACACATATCGTTACTCGATGTTTATTCCAAAAATATCAATGTAAAAATGATTGTATAAAAATAATATTGTACACTCCAGTATGTTTCATTATCATATCGTAGTTATTATTAATCAAAATCATCTGGTTAATACAAAAACTATAGGGCATAGAGATGTGAATAGAAAAAGGTCTATAAATTTTACTATTTGGCAGCATATTTCCTTTGTTTGATATTCGTATCAAAAGACGTTGTATTGTTATGCATGTTAAGCATATTTTACATAGTCTAAAGTCTCCATCGCCTGGTACTGTGTGAGAGATTTTTTGGCACTTGTCTGCATCACCAAATAAGGGGCGTGTGCATGAAGGGGGGAGGGGGAGGGTCAGCCGTTTGCGGTTTCAAGACTTGGAGAAGGCGATTGGCTGCAAAAGTCCAAGAGTATTGTTTTGAATTTACATCAAACAAACTGTTGGACCATAAAAAAATGTGTACCCTATTGATTAGGCAAAGTAAATGACATTCCAAACACTAGTCTACTGAGGAAGGGGAGGTTTTGGAACCCCTAGATCCTGTACCCCCCTGCACACGTTCCTGAAACAACATGGCTTAATAATGGTCCACCTAATCAAGTAACTTATAAATCTATAAAACTAAAAGAGTAATCACTATAGCATTACTCCGCATTACGACTGGTCGTTAAGTGTCCGCTCTACAGAGGTTTCTGTTTATGTATAAACTACGGTCTTACTGCCTAAAGTCATAGTTATTATCTCTGTTTTTTAGCATAGAACGCTTGCAACAAAAGAATAAWACRACGACAAAAATAAGGAATACGATAAAACCAGAGATAAGGACAGCCCAGATTCCATCAACTATAACAGAAAAACATTGATAATTATTTTGTTAATGTGTCAAACAGCAACATGGTGGTGATTAAGACTGTTATTGTTCACTTGAAAATGCTACTAGTTTTTGAAAGAAAAAAAAGCAACAACTCAGCCCATGCGCGGAAAACCCTAACTAATGTTAGAGTAGATGCCTTCACTGCAAGGGCAAGGTTAGTTTTCAAGGTGGCGCAGGGAAAAGTGAGCAGGAGAAGGATAAAGGAGTGAATAACTCAAGAAGGAAAGAGACTGATAACAAAATGAAGACCATAATATGTAATGAATTTGCTTCACAGCAAAACACTGAGAAGAAGAAGAAGTTAGTCAAGAAGGAGAAAAATCAGATAAGAAATATTTGTACCTGAGCATTGTTTATACATAGGAAGAATAGCTTCACAATAAGCCTGRAACTCAGCGCTGCCATGACCTTTAAGAAACGTCTGGACTTTAGCATCGTCAAGCATGAATATACCTCCTAAAAGAAACACATTGATACAACAAATATATATATTAAAAATTATTTTTATATTTTCTGACAATCGTCAAAAAATATTATAACATTATAGTTGGATAAAATTCATGATAACTTGCATGACTTTAGTATTTACCCTGCCAACAAAATCCTTTCGTTGTGCTTAGCAGTGATCTGTGAAACAAAGTTTAAGCAAGTCTAAAAAACTAGTAATGCACGAACAATTATACGTGTTTTAGTGGAGGTCCGAGTACAGGATATATCATGTCATACTAGTATACAGTTAAGATGAGAAAACGTACGACTTCAGTTCAGAGTACGCCGATAAAAAGACTTTGTTTCCCTTTTAAGTTGATTTAAATGCGCCTCTCAAATACCTCACTCCATTGATCCAAACTACGACTTTACCATCCGGACACCAAACCCCACCCTCCTTGATACAGGAATCRCATGTCATTGCGCATGTTTCTTTAGGCATTTCGGGAGCTTTACAATATTTATGTAGACGACCTACAAAGAAACAAGGAATTGACTTTACATAAGCTTATCGTAACTCAAGGTAGAAATGACTTACAATTCAAAAGATATGCAGGCTTGAGCAAAAACGTTTAACTCAGTGCTCAATCTGGACTGACAAATCTTTCTTACTGTTTCGCGCTAAAAATGATAATTTCGTTTACCGCCAAATATGCAGATCTTTGAATCACTTACCCTGCATGCAAACCGTGTGTAATATATGATTGCATGCAAGTTATCCAACATTCAAAGTTGCGTTCAACTTACCTACGACAGTATTATTGACTCTCATTGGGTTCCCTGTGTAATAACGAAGAATTTTAGTCATCCAGTCATCGCTAATAGCCTTCTTCAAACTAATACACAGTCGCACGTATGATTTATTTGGGTATTGTAGAGTGAGGGGGATTTGGCATTACGTGACACGTAAGCTGGATCTACGATGGGCTTCCTGTGTGATACTTACCGCACGGCCCTTCCTCAGGGTGTGTCATATTACTAGGCGCGAATCCTATTCTTTGGTTTTCTCGGTCAAACACTACAACGTTGCCTTCCATTGACACCTCRCCAAGAACAGTGCCTGATGGTTTTTGGCCGATACTAAGACARTGGAAATCACTATCAAGAAAACACAACAACGTCATCAGTGCACCAAAATACAGTTGAGAAATGATTCACTTCAATAAATTGCGCAAAGATAAAAGAAGTTGCAGTGTCAGAAAAGGCGCAAAACTAYGCCAATAATGAAACTGAGGAGTGACAACCTTCTAAAGGAGCRCACTGCACGAACATAGTATACAAACATTACTTACTCTTGTTTTCTCACGTAATGTTTTCCGAGAATCGTTAGACCAAATGATCCTCCTCCTGCATAGTTTTAAGMATAAACAAAAGCAAGTAATACTTTGAATAATAAAATCTTAATAATAGTGTACAAAAAATCAAATGAATAGCTTGTTAATTAGGAACAGGGAGRGAGGGTAACGCGCTAARTAAGTGGCCGGCTCGGTAATTTAGAGATCTGGGAACGAGATTGTTTTATCTTTAAATGAGACAAATATTTTACTATTAGTAATGATTTTAATGAAATTTTCTTTAGTGTTGGGCTGCCTGTATAATTAACAGTAGAAAGACTAAGAGTAAGGGCTTGTGTGACAAATCAATGACGTCACGATGCAGTGTTACTCACTCATATCCGTAAGGTAAATAGTGATGTATGGCCATTGATATGGATCAGTATCAACACAGTAGTTATCCCAGAACCGTTCDTCTACTGGAGGTGCATGCTGGGGAATGTTCAATCAAAAATAAATAAGATTGTGGTTTAAAATTTGAAAACCGCATCCTCAAAAATACTTAATTACAAATCATTTACCTTTTTAAGTTCATTAATAGTGGCTGCATAAACACTTGGCGGTAGTAGAATATCAGTGGTTCCTATGAAAATAACACGATCCCATGTCAAGTTATGTAATTTGAAAATCGTGCACAGCCTTCGTCAGTAAARGATAATTCCCAGCATGCAGTACTCACCACTATCAACAATTGCATTGGTAAACATATGAGAAGGCAGCCCAAGACTATTGCCAGCAACGTCCTAAAATGACGATAATTAAGAGTGGTTTAGTAAGCAACGTAGATAGTGTGGGCCGCCTCGTTCTTAATCTAAACAGCGTATGTACAAAATAAAAAAGGCGATTTTCGACATCAATACGCGGACTACTGCTAAATTGATAGATTCAGTTACGGTTCTCCTAGAGACTCCCCCGGTGCCCACTCAACATTTCAAGTGGGTTTTCGAGGATGATATGATACTAGTACTTACTATTCCCGTCATAGTTACGCTGTACCAGGTTTCCTGGTTGATTTCTGTAAAATGAATAGGTCCTATGTATTTATCCTTTTCTGGCCAATCCAGCCACATTTGACCCTGCGAAATTGATAATTAGAGTAACGTTTTCTTAAATTCTTTTATGATTTACTTATATATAACAATTGCACCAGTCATTTGACTTGTGCAAGACCTTGGATGCCTCTTACCATTCCGTTGCAAAGACCTAATGTGAAGACGTTAGGTACTCGGCCATCTTGGACGAGCTGGTCGTAAAGAGGCTGGAAAGACAACATTAACAACGTTATAATAAACGCAACAAGAATTAGACAGACTCACATCTCCTCGCATTTTCTCTAAAGACCTTTTTAATCAAAACCGCAAAGTCCATATTTGGAAATTCCTCGTTCTGGGTTACCTACCTCAACGCCATCTGTWGCAAGGCTTCTATACGCCATACCCAATATACCTTCATTTATAGAATTTCCTGACAACGGGAAACAAATAAAGAAGCTATCAACATTGAGCCACACTGATGCGTTATTTTAAAATCGTTTTTGTACTGTTCTCCAGAAATGGAAAACGCATTAGTGGCACAAGGAAAATGTGTTTTACATACTTAAAAAGAAGTCCTTTTCATTACGKATCACCGCAAACTCGGCAACAGTGCTGGGACCTAGAGACATGATAAAGACATTCATATATTCAYACATATTATATTTAGGGGAAGGGGACGGCGCATTTTCCATGTTTGCGATTACAAAGGAATTCTGCATAAAATTCACATATTTTCGAAAATAAAGAAAATTTAGAGGTTGCATTGCTGGACGTACCATCACCAGGAAACGCTACAACGTCTCTGTAGATGTAGCCTGACCATGCTCCTTTGCCATATTGTGTCTCTATCTACATGTATTKATGAGATATTAGTATACATCGACTTAAAAGGCTGGTCGCCTATCTRGACAGCAAGTATTCATGATACARCATTAYATAGGACTTTTTGTGAGACTTACAGGAATGTGGAGATTTGACGAGGTGCTTGATTTGCTTGGATAGTAGAATGCGTCGATTTGACATTCTTTTCCAAACTGATCTTCACAATTAGGGCCTGAAAGAGCGCGTGACTGATATTTTATAATCATCATCAAATGATCAAAACAAATTATATTAACAAAACTAGAGTCGTATACTATTGRCGCGTTGTTAACGCGCCGATTTAAGTTTATGATAGAGTAACAATAATAACTGCCTTGGGAGGGAGAAGCTAGAGTCTCGAGGAGTAGCAGGTGGTAGTCTCTCTGGGTCCCATAGAAATCGTTARTTAAGACACAGAGAGGATTCATTTAGAACCTAATACGCAACCACGAGGCCGTGGTTACGTAAAACATCTACGCACAAGTCATTTAGTCAAACCTGCAATCGCCATGTTGGAAGATCCAGTRTCGATAAGAAATTCAAGCTGTAAAGGCAAATCAAGATAAAAATGAGAAGGATAAAGATGACAGAGGCTGAAATACTTAATGCRTATTTATCACACCATTGCTGTTATATGTGATTTAAAAGTTATAATTAAAATGTTTTGTGAACAATGTTATAATTGTAAACAAAGTGCAAAAAAAATTGGGAAATGCAAAAGGGCAAGAACTTGTTGCGGAATCACAAGTAATATTTTGAAAACAATTGCATCCATTTTGAAATCATAACACTATGCGCGAAAATATTAAAAAATAAAAAATGTACACTTTAGGAATTTTATCGCACACTTTTTAGCCAATCAGATTTCAGTATATGACTTAAAAAAATAAAAAGACAATATCCCAGGAAAAAAGTCAATTCATTATTTCACAAATTCTCTGCTAAATGTTGCTAGACAAAACGTCTCTGATTTAATTCCTAAGCCAACTCTCGACACTGGAATAATAAATAACATTGTTTTTATTTGAAAAGTCAATAACATATTATCTATATTTGGAAAAGTATATCTATATTTGGCTATGTGCTATTTGCACTTGTGTGCATGATACCTTATTAAAACACAACTTAAAACACTATATATATTTAAAACGCTTGTCCATTTATTCCAGACAGTGCAAAAATCCTTGAACCATGTGATGAAGAACATAGAATACCAGCAAAGATCAGCGTATTTGACCTGTGTGGGTCTCACTGGATCTCCATTGTAAAAAAAACATTGCTGGTATTGTCATTCAAATAGCACACAATTTATCACCTAATGTTTCTTAACCTTTACCTTTTGTGGTGGATTCCCAACATCTAGTTCGATTACATAGGCGTATGAAGTGCTCTATAATTGAATTGTTGATTTTTGATTGACTTAACTGAATGTAAATAACCGGTCGATTTAATCAAAATTATAAAGTGCCCTTACTCGAAGTGTAAATTCCATTTCTTCTTCAGGTATCTTCGTCTGTGTAGTCGTCGGTGAAGTTCGAGTGTCATTGACATGCTTGTGGTGTTTGACTTTCTTTTTGATATCGAAAGAGAAGAACGTCGATCTCAGAGCGCGCTCTCCTCCGTGACTGTCCACAAATATGGGCAAAAACATTAAATATGCAAGTAAAAACCATTGGCGAACCATAACAGAGAGATTCTTCCTTCTGAAGACATCGAAACTGCTGAAGATACAGACTAAATAAGTCTTAAAAACATTGATATTTTTGGGCTTGTACGATGTCGGACGATCTCGAGAGTACACCAGTGATATCACTAGTGTCGTCAGTGTCTATTATATTCTGTTATTGGTTGAGCAAAGTACCCGCTCCTTATTGACACATGTAATTCAAACTGATAACCAGAATGACATCTGAACAATGGACCGTCTTATCCTATTACATTGAGCTACTTTAGGTTTTCCATCATGAAAACTTTGCTGACAAGATTTTTAAGCCATTGTTTGAAGAAACCATTCCTAAAACCAGCGTCTTTTGGCCGTAAAACGTGAATTTGGGACCTTACGGATGAGACGTTTGCAGGCCTCAAGAGCCTGTTTTGCCGAGAAAAAGTCTTACAGAGAGAAAAAATAATAATTGAAAAAGGCGTGATGGCGCATCACATACATATGCGTAACGGAGTTTTCTAACTTACGGTTTGTGAGGCTCTTTATGTCAATAAACTGCGATCTTTCAAGTAGTTAACGGCACTGAAATCACTGAATGCTCACTGTCAGCCTTTCCTGACGTCAAGCTTTCGATCGTGAACATTATGTCAAACTAGCTTGTTCACCGCCACTCAATTTCGATTGAATCATTGACTTTCATTGTTTTGCGGGATCCCTTCAAGCGTCGACTGTTCATAGGACATTTTATTTTATTTTGTTAATTACTTTATATTTAGTCGGAATATAATACAGGAAGAAGTCAAGGTCAGAGTTTCTTTATAAAACCGCCCAATGAAAAATAGCCGTTATGTTAAAAATTGTATCCGATCATGCTAAAGTTCAGTACTTTAACATGACTTACAAATCAATCTTTTTGACCAAAATGTACAATCTTTTAAGACACGAAAATAAAACCAAAAATCAAATAAAGGAATATTATAATTGATGGTAGGGGCAAAGGAGGGAAAAGGAGTGGCAATAATTAAGCAAACTTTTAATTAAAAGATACATTGACGACGTCATTGTTTCCAAGCAACTAAAGCATTCAATATAGTTTCCATGCCAAYATAACAAAGATTGCCGCCCTATAAGGCTGTTTCACTGGTAACCGCTCGTCAAAAAGCGGATTTTTCTCTTGGTGATGGTCATCAAATTTTGTACCATGACTAAATTCCTCTCGTTCTGTTTGTTTTTCGCGTTTATTATCAAATCACATCGAGGTGATGTGAGTGGAAGCGAGAAGGCCGTTGTTACTATAGCGGCTTTGGCCCCAATGACAGGAGAATGGGATGTGGGACGGACGACTGCCGCGGCCATCCCCATAGCGGTCGAGGACATCAACAACGATTCGACCATTCTACCMAACCACGAACTACAGTTTGTRTTTGGGAATACGAATTGTTCGTCTCTGACCGCCCTCCCGATTGTCATGAATTTCTGGGCAGCAAATAAAAGAAACGTYGATGCTTTCATTGGTGGTGGYTGTAATCACGTTTGCGAGTACATTAGTCTTTTGGCAGGAAAATGGAAACTACCTGTTGTATCTTGGGGCTGTATGTCAGGCCATCTTTCAAACAGAATAACCTTTCCTACGTTTGCGCGAACCGTTGGTAAGTAGAACATTTGATCAGTCATTCTATTTCATCAATTTTCATCCCGTCGAGAGGTAAAACTAAATATATTTACTCGGTAAGTAGCACTATGTATACTTATTATATATATACGAATTATCTGTTCTATATAAACTATATAGCATAGTTCTGATACTAACCAGTGACTGAGGATTTCTATGAAAACAAAAAACGAGGCTAAGTTTTACTACTGAATTTACTATCATATATTCTTAAATGAACTAGAAGTATGTCGCAATTCAAAATTGTAGCATGCAATAATTACATTCTTTCAATCATTTTCATGATAATAACTAAAAGAAATTATGAATAAAAGACATTTGTTGGAATATCTAAATTAAAAGCGCAAAAACCTGCGCAACCCGAAAAAAAATTCTACATTATTGTGTAACAATTCTTTGGTGGATTTTTCACATATAAATTGCTGTTTTTTGAATTGTTGATTTTCTTTACCACTGTGTTTTTTTCTGTTAGTTTGCCTTACCTTTTCTTATACTTTGTTTAGTTWGTTTGTTTAGGCTGCTGTTTTATATGATTCTATTTTCACGGCGTTCTTTAGTAGTTTGCCCTCTGCGCACTACAATTTGGCCGCTCTATATATCCCTAGTCTGTTTGTCCGTTTTTCTCGTTATTCTCAGTTTGGTTGCTTGTCTTTGCGCTTGCTTTATTCCTGTTTTGAAGTGTTTTTTTTTCACATGTATATATTATCTGTAAACGACTGGATGTGTTCCTTATTTTACCCTTTGAAGGACCCTACACCAAAATGGAAATATTGTTAAAGCGTCTAATGGATCATTTCAACTGGAARCGCGTGGCAATTCTTGCCTCTACCGATGATATATGGCAGATAGCAGCTAATTTAGTCAAAATTGTGTTTGCAAAAAACAATGCTGGGATTGAAGTCGCCCATTTTCACAGCTTTATTCCTGGCCGTTTGCATGTTTTGGAGAGTCGAATAGACGGCCAAGCTGACCGTATCAGAGAAGCAACGCACAAAGCAAAAAGTAAGTATAGCGTTACKTAACGCGTGGCGTTACACAGCAAAAGCGCGGGAAAATTCGTTGCGCGGCCGCGCGCAAACCTTGCATGATTTATACACTTGTTGACGAGTAATATACTTAGCAGAGAATGATAAAATCTTTCTTTGCAGTTTTTATCCTGTTGTGCAGTGGAGGTGACATACGAGATATCATGTTGAATTTCTTGGATCTTGGATTGCTAAATGGGAAAAATGCTTTCATCACAGTTCATCTGCCAAAAAGGTAGGTATTTGATGATACAGAATTGAAAACATGGTATGCGCAATACGATATGTATAGCTGAGACAGTCCAAATRTTGTATTGATAACGGATAGTAAACGCATTTTTCGATCATCTTAAAATACTCTTCCACCGAAGCACTCAATTTAAAATATGAATACAATATGCCCATGAATACACAAAAGCGGCGATTCCCAGGGGCCAAGGAACCTATTGTGATGGTTGATTGTTCCTCCCGTGGGGCCTGACGCGGGGCGCCCTGTTTCCTTGCCTCATAAACATATCCGTCTGAAAGATTCGGAAAGGAATTTTTATCCACGACATGGAGCGGTCTTTAGTTCTGTATCTGTTGACTTATAAACTCACGATTAATTCTAGAACGTTTTCTCCGATAAAATGTTTTTATTATCTAAGGCTGTTTTTTTTGACATCCATTACTATTCTCTTGATTATAGTTTTGCAAAACCGAAAACTTGCTAAGTTTTCTTTGATTTCTTTATCAATTTTATACGGATTATCATTCATCCTCTTCAGTTGTTAACATTCACTATTCAATAATAAGTAAACTTTTATATCATCAAGAACGAAAATGTAAAACGTTCTAGAGGTCTTTAATTGTTGAATTCCAGCAAATATCTGTCCGGTTTGTAAACCGCTTACTTTAAGAATTTTAAAGAGATTCGTGCCATGGTGTTTATCCGAATACTAATAATGTCTGTCTGATATAAGAACTGTACTCCTAATTTTCCTGTGATGATTTGGAAAACAAACGACCATTGAGCACCTTTGGTGAAAGCCTTCCTATTACATCGAACATCGGTATTCGGCCACAAACCAGCACTCAGCACCCATCCCCCCCCCAATCAAATCAATAAATCCACTAAATTATGCAAAGCCTGTATCGTTTGCTAATTCCCGAGCTGAGCTCTGATTGGCTCGCTGATCCCTAAGGATTTTGGTGACGTCATATATTAGCATAGAACTTCACCGAATAGACTACCCCCATTAGATACCAGATATCTATAAGTGTCTTCATAGTACGATGGTCTAAGAGGGTAGCTAAAGGTATGCTCTAGTGGGCGGCTACCCCCTCACTCCCTGGCCTTTTGGTTAAGACTAAGTTTTATGTTCACTCGGGATAGCGTGGAAGAGCCGAAATCTCTAACCGTAACGTAAGCCGATTCGACGCCTCAGCTTCGCAGAATGTCTCGGGGGAATCGTCCCATCTTTTTAGTTTTTTATTTTCATTATTTCTTATGTATTCAGGGGGGTGCATCTTCTCCTGAAGAGAAAGTTCTGAGTTCGAGTCCTGCTTCTGGAACTTCTCTTTTTTTCGCTTGTTTCTTGTTTTGTTTGTTTCTTGTTTTCTTTTCTTTTATCGATTTTTCTTTTCTTCATTTCTTAGCTGTTGTTACTTCGTTTGTTTTTCTCWAGAGATTTTCTCTTAAACATATCAAGGACTCGCAAGGAACRCCTGCTACAAGTGGATAGTTACGGTTCGGTCACTCAACAAGATGACTTGGTAACGAGAGGCCCCATAAGGCYTTTCGTCACAAAAAAGAGATTTATAAATTTACAAYATTTTTGTAACTCTAGTTCCTTTTCTTTCATCGGTCTGTTTGTTTGCTCCGTGTTCTTTTGCSTTATGATTAGCTAAATGTCATCAGTTTGCTTTCTCTACTACATTRCTTTGTAAGTTTAGTCGTCGCAGTTGTTGTTATAGCTGTTGTTTTCTCGTCCAAATCTTTACTCTTAGTATACATTGCACTGCTGAAACTATGAACCAAAATTCTCTTTAGGTCTTACATTGGTAATAACACATGGATGGGTGATGATGGCCGTGATGATGATGCTAAAAAAGCCTACGAAGGAGTATTGAACATCGAGCAAAAGTTTGGCACCGCGAAAACCAGTGGAGATAAAGTCCAGTCCTTTTTGGATCGCGTGCGTCTTCGACTTAAAAAAGAACCATTTAATATTGACCTTCCAGACAATGATGCCGTAAGTATCTTGCATTGGTTTGGTTCTAGTGTTAGCGATCATGAGTATAGTTCATTAATTTTTTTGCCATGCTTTTGATAACTCTCTGCTTTTGACTATACCCTCTAGATCTTTCTCCTGTCAGTCTATTATTTCATTTTTCATTATTCCTCCTTTCACATTTGCTCTTGATCTGTTCATTTTCGTCTTCTCTTCACTATTCTCTCTACTTTTCCTTCTCTTTTCTTTACTTCTTTATTTCCCATTTCATATTTCGTTGTTGAGATAAAATTTAYCGAGAAATGATTATTGTTCGCACTTCAGATCGAAGCGTACGCAGGGACTATGTACGATGCCGTGCTCTTGTACGCCATTGCTCTTAACGAGACGCTAAGCGAAGGAGGAAGCAAACGGGACGGTCTACTTATCGCTAGTAAAATGTACAACAGACAGTTTGAAGGTATAATAGAATTAAAATCACTATTCCGTTTGAATCACAATTAACTTAAAATAATAATCCGCAGGTGTGGCAGGCACAGTGTACATTGACAACAAAGGAGATCGCGATCCCGACTACACCATACAAACGCTTATCAACGACCGTTTTCAAGATATCGCCCACTACACTCGTTATAATGACAATTTCACTATAAGAGATGGTGTTACGATTATATGGCCGGGCGGATTTCTTACACCGCCTAAGGATTCTCCTGATTGTGGCTGGTCAAACGAGCTGTGCGAGGAAAAAGGAGGTAAAACTATCAACTGATGAATTGATTATTAAGTAGCGTTCCAAGCAAATTAAGTTTGTATTATCAAGGAGCCAGAGGAAGGGAATAAAAATGCATGCTTTATGATTCATTGTTCATTTGTCTCTTTTCACTGTAAAATTGATAAAGTTGTGTGTGCACATGGAACACCTTTTTGGCTTTTGCTGCTGCTTTAATATAATACTGGCGCGGTTGACATTAGCTATTTTTGATTGTCTTTTTTATCATTTCTTTCTCAGACAGTACAACGTACGTAATCATCGCATGTTGTACCATTTCTGGAGTGCTGTTCGTTACCATGGTGTTTGTGTTTGTTTACAGGTAAGTTTTGCACAATAGTGCTATCAACTCTCTCCATATTTGATGAAATTTGTTTCATATTTGCTTCTGCTCATTTGTCGTTTCATTTGCATTGAATTCGCTACATGTGAGATTCAATGATATGTTTTGTAGTTGACTAGTAAGCGATTCAGACTCGTACCCAGTCGTTACTCTTCACTTTCTAAGGCGCGCGCAAAGGATCAAGGTAAGTCGAAACTTCCTTTGATCCACCGCGACCCGTACAACGAGTAAGAGAAACGACTGGGTCCGAGTCTGTAAGCGATTATGCATCGTTACGTGACTGGCTTAGATTTTGTCCCCTCTAAGTGATGCTATTCTAATAGTCTTTGTTATCTTCCATTTTCTAGGAAACTAACATTTGAGCTTGATCTGGCACAGAATCAGTCTTGGAAAGTTAAAGAAGATGAAATTATTTTCAGGGAAAATCCGTACGGACCATCTCTTCGTTCAGTCAGGGTACGGTGACGACAATATACTAGTTTCTACTATCCCCCCTCCCCCCCCCCCCCCCCCCCCCCCCCCCCCCCCCCCCGGGACTATCCCTAACCACGATATGAACACATTATGACCCAAGTGCTTAACACACAAAAAGCTAATAAGACTTTTAACTCACATTTATTAAAAGTTTCCCATATGTTGTTTTAGAGCTCTCAAAATAAAAGTGTGAGGTCGTTCAAATCGATACAAAGCGGAAAAGACGAGAGCGTATCGCACATCAGCATCAAATCAGCGAAGTCAACGGACACGAAGTCTTCTGCACGATGGAGTCTTCACGAGCCTGTATTCTCGTCAGCTTTCACGTCTATAGCGATGTACAAGGTGTGCTTTTGTAGCCAGTTAATTGTAATATCTATCTGTATAGTATTGAAACCTAGGCATTTAGCTTCAACACTCGGTTGCGCCACTCAGTAAGTTTTCAAGTCACCCGGTCAACATGGCCACCAATCTTAATCTATAGCAAACTGGGAAGAACAAGGAAAGATATTTTTCATATGACAAACTCGTCTATTTTGTATTTTTGCAGGCAGAGATGGTCGCGGTCAAGAGGATGAAGAAAAAGGAGATTTCTATTTCTCGTAAAATTCTTATCGAGGTCAAACAAGTAAGTATATAGTCACTGCTTTGCGCTTTATCCTACTAACCAACAACCAATCACCTGACCGAACCAGCTCCAACCAACCAGCCAATCACCAATCAAATGAACAGATGAACGAACGGAAAACAAAAAATGACAGACACTATAGAAAAAGACATCAATTATAACGCAACACAAACAAGATCAAACAAACACAAAACAACAACAAAAACATCAAGACGGAACGTTCAAAACAAAGAACAAATAATCTGTTAACAACTGACTGGACAAACGTTTATGCAGAAAGATATTGAAATGATTTTTGTCTCTAGGCTCGTGAGCTCCGTCATGAGTACATCAACCCGTTTATTGGTATTTGTATGGAATCCCGTCAAATTCTGATCCTGTCCAAGTATCTCAAAAGAGGCAGTTTGCAGGTACGCATCTTCGTGCACCCTTTATCGCCTTTGAAGACTTCCTGTACGTGGAGAGAGATTCATCAGCTGACACAGGAAGCCTAAACAGTGAAAAAATCTGTTCTGCTGTTGATCTTTTCTTTTTACCTCGCTGCTGATACATTTCATTATTTCTTTTAGGATTTGTTGGATAACGAAAATTTCAAGCTTGATGAGGTGTTTATATTGTCCCTGGTTAGAGACGTGGCAACGGTGAGATCATAATCACTGCATGCAGTCGGTCGGGATTTGGTGGCGGTATCCCCCTCTACCCATAATCATTGCCCTCTTTGGGAGAAGATGTTGTCTCGATAAATTTAACGTGTCCTATATCGTCGATGTGAGTGATTTCTGATTAAACAATATTTCTTCATTAGGGAATGACTGTCCTGCACAGCAGCCCTGTTCAAGTGCATGGTCGGCTCAAGTCCTCCAACTGTCTCATAGACTCACGTTGGGTGTGCAAGATTGGAGACTGGGGTCTAGGAGAGTTGAGGTCAAGCCTTGAAAGGCTGCCCGCACGCACAGAAGCTCAGGAATATAACGGTGATGAAGTTATGAAAAAGCAATATGCTAGATTTAATGTGTTTAAACTGACAAAATGCTGTTTTATGAACTTTAGATATGTTATGGTGTGCACCTGAGCATATCAACAATAATCGCATGGATTCACGTGGGTCTCAGAAAGGAGATGTGTACAGCTATGGCATCATCCTGCAAGAAATTGCCATGAAAGCCTCGCCTTACTGCATGTGTACCGATATGAGTTCTAAAGGTATCATATAAAGATCTAGTACTCCACTTGTTTTATTACGTACTCGTTTCAACTCGTTTGATATTGATAATTGCATTTTATCATTTAGAGGTTGTGCAGAAAGTTTCAGCACGCGAGGACCCGCCATTCAGACCTGTTGTTCCTGTCGATGCGTGTAAGACAGAACTGCGCACGCTCATGCAACAGTGCTGGGAAGACGATCCTGATAAACGACCACACTTCAATAAGATCCTTGATAAACTCAGAAAGGTTATGGGCAGGTATAGTTTTATATAGTTGCTTGTTTATAGTTGCTTGTATGGAGGTTTGAATATGTAAACTAAGAGAATTGTTTCAGTGAATAGAAACGACTGCTCAGATACTAAGTTTGCATATTTGCTGGTAAAGAGCAAGAGAGCAACAATAGCTTCAGAGTTTGATATCAACTTTTAGTGTCGCTAAGCTTTCACAGTAAAATGAAACCTTTTCTAAACCGAAGATTGATGTTTGTCCTTAATCAATTCCACTTATTATCCAATAATTTCTTCTTTGGCAGAGATGTTAACATCATGGACAACATGATTAATCTGATTGAAAGACATGCTGATAATCTCGAAGAGTTGGTAGAAGAAAGAACAAGGCAGCTCATGGAAGAGAAAAAGAAAACTGATCGACTTYTATACAAAATGTTGCCAGCGTGAGTTTAAATAAAAACCCTAACGGTGCTAGCCATTTGTATCAGTGAGGAATTGAGTTGGTGGTGGGCAGACTCAGCCTCTTCCCAATTCCTTGTCTTTCTCCTTGATTTTCTCGGAAACGCATACACTAGTATGTTGTTTCTACTGATCGGTCTCAGTATACAAAACGTAAGTTGCAATGATAATAAGTAAGCCAGGCTTGTAGTTATCAGATAGTACGGAAGTGCGACGGACCCATGCAGGCTTGACTCTCATCGCCATTACTAGACCAAAAGTCGACATTGATCTGAACAATGTTCTCATCCTTAGATCGGTCGCTGACCAATTGAAGCGTGGTAAATCCGTGACGCCAGAGCTATTTGACGAGGTTACTATATACTTCAGTGATGTAGTAGCCTTCATGGACCTCGCGTCCGACAGTACACCAATGGAGGTATGTAGACATGACAATGAAGACTTWACCAACATTTACAAGCGGGAAAGAAAGAGCATAATATAGTTATCTTTGCTTATTTGCGCATGTATGCGCATGCACGGTGATGGATCCAGTTCGCGGGTGCAGGGGTGRACACCTCATTAGACCTTGTACTCCATTATGTGTCTGTATTCTGACCATTCTAGTGCATACCATAATTTTGAATGCTTCTTTGATTGTTTAAAATAGATCGTCACGCTTCTCAATGACTTGTATTTGGCCTTGGACAAAATCCTTGCTAATTATGATGTCTATAAAGTGGAATCAATTGGAGATTGTCTTCTGGTAGTGTCTGGATTACCAGTGAGGAACGGGATCCGCCATGCTGGCGAGATAGCTACCATGGCTCTTGACATACTGAGTTTGATGACACATTTCACTATCAGACACCGTCCACAAATGAAGCTCCAACTACGTGTTGGTCTGCATAGTGGTAGGTTAAATTATTTAGTAAGCATGCAGTTGTAACATTAAAACATCCGTAATCTAAGAATTACAGTAGGAAACTTAGTTTAGAGAATAGGTCAAAAAATCGTGGCCTTGCGTTTATAATGGTGGGTTGAAAGGTTTCCACATGTCCCACCKTGTCCAGAACAGGTGTTCCGTGCGTAACAATGAATTAAAAGCGCTGTCGGTAAAATCAAGTTGTCGATAAAGGTTGCGGTGGCAATAATATATTAATAAAGCTCATATAAAATGATGATGACGATGATGATGGCATGATACCATTGATTATAATGATTACAATGCATGATTGCCCACATGAGATAGCATCGTCTTATATCACTTTCCTGCAGGCCCATGTGTGTCAGCAGTAGTAGGGATTCAGATGCCGCGTTTCTGTCTTTTTGGTGACACTGTGAACGTTGCTTCTCGTATGGAAACTACTGGACAAGGTAATACTTTGTGTAGCTAAGTTGACGCGAATAAAAGCTACTATTTGACTCATTGACACGATTAAACGACCGATGAAGTATCGACTAACACGATGAAATATTGATCACTATAACCTAATACCTTCCACAGCTCTCAAGATTCACATCAGCGAGAATTGTTACAACATATTGAAAGAGATCGGTGGATATATCTTCGAGAAAAGAGGAGACGTTTACATCAAGGTATTATAACATCACCAAATATTATATTGAAGCTTAAAATGTTTTATCGTATTATTAGTAAACTGTAAACTTTAGTAAATGGTTGATTTTTTTCACTCAAGGGGCGTGGTTTCTGGAAGACCTACTGGCTGACCGGTAAAGAGGGTTATAGCAAATCTCTGCCGCATGTTAATGCGCCGTCATCCACTGAGCAGCAGGACGTRTTCTATGCCAGCTAAACATGCACTAAACATATTTTTATTTCATCTTCGCTGTTTTATTGTTCATAGATTTATTGATGCTAATTTTTATCAAGTGATGTTATTGCGTTTGTGAAACTTTAGTTGACTTTTATGTGATAATATTAATAGCAATGTTCTAAAATTACTGTCCAATTTCAAGCATATATTTACTGGTGGTATCCCCGAGTGTTTTGTGGCCAACAATTGTCTGGGGCTGACCACCATCCKAATGCGATCAAATAATGTTACAATTTACAAAATAATAACTATACATTATTTTATTTACAGTTCTATATTTGTAATGAAGTAATTCCTGTTGTTTGACACTCGGAATGTGAATGAATTGTGGTAATGAAGTAGTTCTGTTCCTAACTCTCATACAGGTCCTGAATTTTTTATGACCTAAAATCACAAATAACACATATAACACAAATCATTCACTTACTCTGTATTTCTAATGATTTTTGTTAACATATAATTCATTCATTAATAACTACAATTTTTCAATGATCTTCTTTGTAAACAGCCTTATGAAATAAATTTGAAATGTATGCCATTTAAAGATTGGAATATGAGAAATTACAATAATTATAAAAGCGATGAAAAAGTTTTTTTGTCATTTATTACAATTTTTTCGTGCAGAATACCAAGAAGTCCTACTTATTCTATTGCATGCGACGTGTGGAGTATTAGTAATCTTTTTCATTTGAATTGATCCGTTCTAATTTGCTACTCTATAAAACTTGTTATCTATTTACGCTAATGGTTTTTACGCAATATATCCCGTTCACCATACCGACCTGTCTTTTCGCCATCTTGGAAACCGTAATGCAGCTTTTAGCAACAGTAAGACAGACGTATCTTTGCATCTTTGCGTGCAATTCTGATGTTATCCCTTTTATCATGCCAACTGAAGTATTTTCCTCAGGGTAAGTTTAAATAAACTATTATCCAAATAGTCATAAAAAAATGAGTTTTTAATTTCTAAAGTTGTCGTTTCTCGTACTAAGMACTTCGTTTAGCATTTCGTCTTCTTCTTCGTCTTCAGGATTAAGAATTTCACGAGACGGTGTACGATGAGCCGAGGTCGAAGGCTGAGCCCGATCACTACCAGCTCTCACTAACACCCTTTTTATCTTGTCAAAATGGAAAAGATGACCACGAGATTTATACGCAAATCGCGCATACATCAATCCACCAAACCCAACTGCTCCTACTGACATGAGAGCCATGAAACCAAACTCCTCAGGTTTTGGTAAAGCAATAACGAATACGTACATAGACATATCAAGTATCGAGTTAAATGCTTTCTGCATCGCACCAACGATTCCACGCTCTTCTTCAGGTACGTTCTCTTGTTGAAGCTGTGTAATACACAGATCAGACAACCAAAGACCAAAACGCGATAGAATAATACCGGCGATCATAAGGCTTACTGACACATAAGAAAAGTTRTAGGTGACCTTTTTCTTGGTAACTTCGTCAACTGTGCAGTTTTTAGTTCGCGGTTGAACAGACGGCGAAGGAAGGATAGCGGTAGTTAACGAYGGTGAAGGTATCACTGAGGACCTYGGTGACCACGATGAAGAAGRTATTAATGAAGAGGTAGGCGATGACAGTATAGAACTTTTTTGCATCTGTGGTGTTGTTAAAGAAGGATGCAACGTGCTGAAAACTTGGATGGAGCTGACTGGGGAGTATACTGATGGAACCGGAGAAGAAYTCCTYGAGAAATACGACGTTTCAATAGGTTTAGWACCAAAGACAGAAGTGYTGCTGTTGCCTACTGTACCATTATTTTCCATCAGTTGGTTTGCGTACTGATGATCGAAAAAATAATTGTTTACTGCAATACTCGGAGTCGGTAAAACCGAGCAGTTTCCAACTGAACTRTTATGAAYATGGTGTGTGATCACAGTACTCCCATGAAACCGTATACTGTCAGGAAGCAATAAAAATGGCGAACCAGGAGTAAAAATGGCTATCAGGCAAACCACCATGCAAGCAAATTGTGCTGACATTGAAAATAGTCCAGAACGGACGACTCCAATGGARTTTCTCATTAGTGGAAAAACAAAAGTGGCAAGAATCCCAAAAACTGATCCAGCACCTCGAAGGATACTTAAAACTGACTCGGTGATATTCTGTGTGTAGATATATCCAGTGGTAATTGATCCAAAGGATAGAACGGTAAAATACAGGCAGGCCAGGGAAAGTCCAGGAAGTACAACTGTCTGTCTCATATATATTTGAMAGCCAACTTTCATAGTTTTGGCTTTAGTCACGATTCGTTGAAATACACTTGGTTTCTTCTTTGATTTCGGTACTCTTACACCAGTTTGAGGGACTAACGCATCAGTGTCCTGGTCAACATTTTCTTGACTGCCATTTTCTCTTTCCATCCAGTCTAGGTGTTCTCGGGATGCCTGTTCCTGAGCAGAAGAGGAAGATTGGGCAGTTTCTCCATGTCTTTCCTTATCTATCTTCTTGATAGATAGAGCTGGGACGGCTTTGAATACCCTTAACAGCATGTAGTATTCAAAGAATACAGAGACCAGATTCCAAGCAGCGATCAAAATGACCCCTGCTTTTTTAGAGACGTACGTCATAATTTGTCCAACAAGAACTGGGGCCAGTAACTTGCACACAAGATCAATACGGCGAAGGATTGCATTGTTTCCTGGGTAATAAATTTAGAATAACCATAGTGATATCAACAATAAGAAAAACTTATTAACTAAAACATATAATGATGAAAAATACAGGATTGCTGCAAAATATAGGCATCCCTTGCAAAAGGTGCCAGTAACAATGTTTCCTCTCTTCTTTCTTCCTGAACTTTCCCATGTACTTTCTAATTAAGGACCTCCTTTGCAGGCCATAATATCAAAACAATATTATTATTATTATAATATAACAACAAAAATGAAAATAATCATAACAATAATGTCATAATTTGTTAGCAACAGGTGATCATCAACCACCAATACACACCTGCCAAAAGTGCTTTATCTGATCCACAGATGACAACAATCCAGTCTTTCTCAATGGAAATCTTTGTAGCAATACCAGCAAGAACTGATAAACAAGCTACAATAACAACCAGACTAACAACAATAATAAATAATGCTTTTGATAGGTTAACAGACAGGATGAGTAACAGCAATAATGCTGACGTAGCAACGGCAATATTCTGCACCACCAGAGATAAACGAGCCACTGAAAAAAATAATAATAATAATGATAAAATAAAATAATAATTATAGTCAATTTGCAACAATATCTGACAATTCATTTTTTCAAACGAATTCTACAGGCAAGTATGAATAAAGAAGTATGTACACATTGCATTCACTGAGTGAAAASAC